AAGCTTCATTCTCCTACTGAACAATATATAAAGATTTTGCCATGAGATTTAAATACCACTCACCCACCTGAGAAAGTAGGCATATGCTTTTCTTAAGGCATGTACTTCACTACTCTTATCCATACAAGCACACTGATCTATACAAAAATACAACATATTGTTTGTATATATCACCATTACACTTATCTATCTAGGGTCCAAGAGTAGTATTTGTTTGATCCCTAGTCCTTCTGAGCTGGACTCAGTTACAGTTTCAGACCAAGAAACTTACATAATAATATTAAGCAGGGAGGAATTGAGCAAAGTAAAGGAGATGGAGAAAAAGAAAGAAAGAAATAAACAAACAAACAAAAGGAAGGTAAGAATATATAGCGAGAAGGTATGGAAGCAGGCTTACTTGTGGGATATCAAGAGACAATGAGCGAAGGATCAAAAAGCAATCAGAGAAAGGCATAATATTTGCCATATACTAAAATGCTTTATTAGGAGATAGAACAAAAGAGAAAAGGTGCATTAAAATTTTTTGTGCATTCCTTTTTCCTTTTCTGCATTTAGTAATCTGTTTTTATAAGGTTTATATAAAAACATGAATAGGCACCTAAGACTGGAAAGAATAAAAAGAGAGAATGAGAAAATACAGATAAAGGATGAGAGAAGAACAGAGGATATTGGATAATCTCAGTTGTCAAGACCTGTAGAATTTCCATGGGTCCAGCTAGTATTAAGGAAAGAAGGCTGGCATTAATATCAGATCTATATGAGGAGGTGCTGAAAAGTCCTAAGTAAAAACACTTCTGTAAAAGATTTGATATTTGAGGTTAGATTTTCAGAAGTAGATCAAGTCAAGGTCATTTCAGCATCTCTAATTTAATAGTTGAGATACATGACAAATCCGGCTTTCAAGAAACATTTAATGTTTCCTAGCAGGACTTTAAAAGTTTTCATTGTTAATAGAAAAAATTAGTTTTAGGCAATTATTTTTTTAAGATTCTCTATGTTATGATTAATAGTGTGAAGAAGTTGATACATGTTTGAACATCATTAGAAGTTTCTTATATTTGCTCTCAATCCTTTAAAGTTCATCCAATTTCAGTCATAAATTGTTTAATAATTTCTTTAAATTATATAAACTTTTCTCTTGAAAAAATACTGCTGAAATCACCCAAACTTTACTAATATATATATATATATATATATATATATATACTGATGAGTTGAGTTTTGTTCCGGTTTGAAGCAACCAGACATCTAGCCACACTGAAGAACTGTGATACAGTCTGTGGATAACTATATATATATATATATATATATATATATATATATATGCTTCCACTTTAAATCTAGCTCAACTTGTGCACATTTAAAGTTATCATCAGTAATTTACATAAAACACAAATCATTTATGATTTTTAATTTTCACTAGATTTTCGACTTACTTTGCTTATATTTAATCTAAACATTATCATCTTAGAGAGTGGTAGCATAAAGGCTTGACACCAGCCAGATTAATCAAAGATACTTTACAAATTACTGTCATGATTAGGATTTGATATGAGAAAATCAGTAATTTAGACTATTATCTTTATAGTAAACATTCCAAGTTGATTTGTTTATCTTTATAGTAAACATTCCAAGTTGATTTGTTTATCTGGAAATTAAAGCAAGGTATCAGTTATGTCACAAAAAGATAATTTTAAATTCAAATAATTTTCTAGTAATTTTGTTCACTGGTCTTTTTAACCATGTTCCTGTTCTGATCTTTCTAGATTTGTGATGTTGATAGTTATTAAGCACATTTAAGCATTGTTTGGTTTAGACAGAGTTGTAGAAGGATAAAATCTAAATCTAAATCCAGAGCCTGCTCACTTCTGTTGGAGGAATCTCACCCTGGTTGACATCCACCATTTCCTATCTCTGGTCATACTGTGGCATCTTACTGATAAAAAGGTAAACAGGTAGAATTTTAAATAAGTTAATATATGAGTAACATCTTTCTCCTATCGGCTACAGAACACATCATATCAATTTATAATAATGTTTATGAAGATGCTTCTTGTTTCTTCAATTGGCAAGCTAGATTTGTTTTATTGTTGTGCAGAAATTGATTTTCATATCAATTAATTGACACTTCTGCTCTTAAATCAATATTATCAGAGACTTCAGATAGTACTTTATGTACTCAAATGTTAACATACATAGATATATACATCTATATATATATGGCCTGAGAATATGAATAAAATTGACTCCTGTTTCATGTTAAATAATATTTTTTAGAAACAGTACAAAATGGGTAATCATTAATGAATGCCAACTGTAACAGTAACTGTAGTATTTTCTTATTACTCTAGCAGTCAAGAGCATTTGTCTCCTGCTGCTTTTAATACCAAAGAACATGTCACTTTTCCTTTTTTATTGTTTGATAGAAAAAAAAATCACAAAGCATTTTTATAGATAGGTAAAAGAGGGGGAGTTCTGCCTATGCGAGATAATTGACTGAAACTAAAATAAACCAAACTAGAAAAAAATATTTTATGTTATCATTTACTCATTACACCTGTCAGCATTATATAGCTGTTAGTGCTAGCTAATTATTAATGCTATCTGTTGATAATACAGAAAAATTAAAATACACAAATTATGTAAGATTTTTAATGAACTGCTAAAATTATCAGGCTTTCATATCTGCTTTCTAAATGAAACATTTTATGTTTTTTCTATTTTCTGTCTTTAGAATGTTTATGATACAGGTTTATTTTTCTTGTGTTGTATTGTATCTCCTACTTCCATGAAGTTAAATAAACATATACATATAATGGATTGCTCAATTTGTTTTCTTGTAACCTGGACTTTGATTTCATTGCTTGTCTTAGGAAGTGAACTTTGCTTCCATATTTACAGATAAGATATTAGAGTGAGTATCTGGTTATTTTTTTCCCTAAAGATTTTAATTGTGTATTAATTTTTCTACATAAGAACAATATAACCAATGATACTGGAAAAGTGGCTTAAAGCACAATCTCAACTGACTCATAATCTGACTGGATTATCTTTCTTGGATCTTATAATTCGCAGCAGGCAAATTGACCTCCTTTAATTTTTATGCATTATCAGAAAATTTAGAGTAAAATGCAAGAATAGTTTAATTGCAAATTTACTGCTAAGTTAGGTGTGGTGATATGTAGATTAATCAATTAACATAGCCAGAAAAATACCCAGGCTATACAACTGTTAGGAAGAAGGAAAACTACTACACATGAGCATTGAGTAGTAGCACAAAGGACTTAGGACTTAGGACTTCACAACAATGGCGTCGTCAATCGAAAACACTTTATCATTAAAGAATCCCAATTTCATGGATAAGAGCATTCGCAGCTAAAGCAAGGACTAAATAAAGAGACAGCAAAGAAATGGTAGGAGAAAATGGAATAATCGATCATTTTTTGGCCACAGCTGGATTTGAAGTGATTATGAAAATTTCACCTAATGCAGTTGGAAAATTTGACTATTGGTGAAATAAGTCAGATAATAGAGAAAAATATGTGACCAAAAAAAGAGGGTAGTCATTGCAGAGAGAGTAAAATTCATGGACACAAGACAAGAAGCTGACAAACCAGCTACAAAATTTTTACTTTGACTAAAAATTGCATCTCAATATTGTGACTTTGAAAAACTCAGAAAAGAAAGCCAAACAAGTGAAGAAAAATTAATTCAGATGATGTTTAATAAACATGTTTAATAAACATGTTAGAACACATACAGCTAGGATACATGTTTTTGTCTACCTGCATTGAATTTATTCAACAGCAAGAACTAATACAAAAATTTAATAAGTTAGAGAATTGACCAGATTATTTAGAGGTTGCTGACATTTACATGTTTAACCCTAGAACACTAACCATGGGTATATAGTACCCAGTGCAAATGATGTCATTGAGCATGTGTATGGTTCCTGCGCTTTGAGGGGTCCCAGGTGCTTAGTAGCTTCACTTGCCCATTTGACAGTGTAGGGGAAGGTTGCGCCATCTCGCTCTCTCTACTCCTCAGTGTGGTAGGCCTGCATTTGGGTAAGGTATACCCATGGTTGGTGATACATGATGTTGTGCATGGTGGGTATAATCTACCCAGGATAGTGTTTACGTACTATTTTAGTGATCAACGGTGGAGTGAAAAACAGGATTATGAAGCTGTGTAAATAGTGATTGTGTGTTACTTACAAATATATTTTACCCTTTCAGATTACAGGTTTATTCAAAATGGCTTTAAGTAAGAAATCAGTTACAGACAATGAAATAGAGGCTATTTTATGTGAGAGTTCTGATGATGAAGTGGACAATTTAGAGTTTGAAGAATTATATGATAGTGACATTGATGGTGAATATGCGCAAGAACCTAGTGATAGCAGTGACAATAGTGACTTGGAGGATGTACCTCCAAGAAAGAAAAAGAAAGTAGTGTGTGTTAGCCCTGCCTTGCCTATGGTAGGCCTTTCTACTGCACCTGCTACTGCCCCTGTTGCTGGCCCTGCTGCTCCACCTGCTGTTGTCCTTGCTGCTCCCCATGGATGACTACGACGCACTGTACCTCAAACAGATTGTGATGAGCTTGTTGTATGCTTCAACACAGCTACCATTAGATCTAGAAAAGGCTTTATGTGGAGCACTAGGACAAATGCAGGAGCAGTACATACTCCTGCAAGAAATATATCACATGGTGTCCGGTGTGGCCCCTCCCAACAAGCTTCCCAAGCTGACATCCTAGAGAAGTATTTCTCTATGTTGTTTGTGGATGAAATCATCAATGAAATTGTGCAGTGGACCAACCAAAAATAAACACTGATGCAGCTAAATACAAGCATGAGAAGGCCACAATACAACCCACAACACCTGAGGAGATACGTGCCATGTTTGGGGGTCCTCATTTTTAGTGGCTACAGGAGAGACCTCTCCACTAAGGAAGTCTGGAGCCCTAAAGTTGGTTCCAATTTCTACAGGGCAGCTATGTCTGAGGGGTGCTTTACTTTCCTCCTCAACTGCCTATGCTTTGATGACTTTAATACCAGAGAACAGCGAAGAGGAACGGACAGGTTTGCCCCAATCAGGAAGGTGTGGGATACTTTCCTCTTGGCCTGTGGAACCCGTTATATCCCACATGAGTTCCTGACTGTTGATGAGCAGTTGCTTGCCTTCCGTGGCCGCTGCCCCTTTTGCATGTACATCCCAAATAAACCAGCGAAGTATGGCACCAAGATCATCATGGTAAATGATGTCAAGGGCAAGTACATGCTTTCAGGGATCCCCTATCTTGGGAAGCAGAGGATACAGGTGACAGACAGGCAAAACCTTGGCCACTCCTTCACCAAGGACCTGACACAGTGCTACCACAACACCAACAGGAATGTAACAACTGACAATTGGTTCACCTCTGTGCCCTTCATCCAGGTTCCAGTGCCTTCCTGTTCACGAAGGACATGACACTGGTGTTGTATGTTCCCAACACCCATTCCAGCAAGAAAATTGTCCTCCTCATGTCTTCAATGCATGGAGATAAGTCCTTGGACATCAGTGGAAAGCCAACCATCATCAAGGACTACAACAGGACGAAAGGAGGAGTTGACATGTTCAACCAAATGTGTGGTCAATATTCGTGTGGCAGGAAGACCAAGAGGTGGCCGTTCTGTGTGGTTTATGGCATGCTGAATGCTGGATTAACTCTTGGATCATCCATGGAGAAAATATGCAGGAGACAGGTGGCAGACAGATGAAGAGGAAGCAGTTTATGCAGGTGTTGGCTGGTAAAACACTGGGCAGTGCATCGCCTCTCTGTCGAGGCAGCTCAAGGATCATATATGCACTGTTTTTGAGCTGCCCACTCCCCCTGGACCTTCAAGAATTTCTGGACTACCTGCAGCAGACATGAGGGAGTCCATGGTACTCTGTGTTGTCTGTCCCACGAAGACAGACAAAAAAACATGCTTCTGGTGTGTGTCCTGTAAACAAGCTATGTGTCCCAAACACTATTACACCATGTGTAGCAACTGTATATGAGGCTGAGGTAAGTAGAAATGCACCTGAAGACTTTATTTACTTGTACATAACAAATAAATAGTCAGTTGCTACAGTCATTTTAGTTAAAAAAATTATTAGTGTAAAAAAGTGATTTTTGTGGTAGATAAAATAGGGCCTTTTTCCATGTCTTGTCCCTATAGAAGCTGCAGCAGCTTGGGACCAGTACCCCCTTCAGCAGTGGCTCACAGGACCTGGAAAGCCATATGAGGAGTTTGCAGTTTTCCTGTTTAGGAGTGTGCAGACAAACCAAAACTACATAAAAGCCATATGCAGCTACACCAATTCGTGGACCAGTTATAAAGACATTGGGATATTTTGAAGGTTCCATAAAATTGAAAAACAAAGTCAAAATACTACTCATCATTGTAGCAGATAACAAAAAGAAATTTTTGAAATTATTGGAAAATTATTTAGGAATTTTTTGAATTATTGGAAATGATATACGTGAATTATACAAAATTAATTAATGCAGTAAAAATGGAAGAAAAAGTAATTTTAAAAACCTAAAAAGTGAGGCTAATGTTGAAAGAAAATGTTAATACCTCTTACCATGAGACAGAGAAACTACCAGTACATTTGTTATCATTACTAATAACAAATTAAGATCTACTGGAGCATGTTCATCCTGGTGGAAACAAATGGGCATCCCCCATTGTAGTTCTGAGAAAATCAGACTTACACATATGTGGCAATTATAAAGTAGGAGTGATTCATAAAGTATGCTCAGATTAATATCCCATATCAAATATGAAAGTGGCCTTACATTCTTTAGTAGGAATAAATATTTTTACTAAAATAGATTTACAAACTGTGTATCATCAGATACACATAAATGAAAATTTCAAAGAATTAACAACAATAAATTCACTGATAGGTTTATGCTGGAAAAGAAAGCTTTAATGAGAAGACAAATCAGAGCTCTTTTAACCATGTCATATTCTATGAATGAGAAAATGTGGTACAAGAAAGGGAGGACAAGTTTTTTAATGCAAAAAGGACACAACACAGCTATAATAAGAAAAAATGGAAGTAGCATACTGGCCCATGCAGATCAAATATCACAAGATGAATACAAAGAGAAAAGTGGTGAAGAAATGTTCAGGGATATCTCAATTATGAGAATGTTGAAATGAAACCTACCCTTGCAGGATGAAATATCTGAAGATGAATATAGAAATGATCAAGAGGGATAATATGATTCAGAAACTGAGGAAGACCAATCAATGCACGAATATGGCCATCATAATGAGAGGAAATGGCATAGATCAAGATCTCCCAGAGAAAGAAATACCTTAAGATCCTGGGGGAGAGAAAGAAACCCCAAAACCCTGAAAACAAAATGATAGAAAAAGCACAAGAAAAACAAGTGGCACAAAACCCCTCCATTACAGGGAGATGTGGTGATATAAAGATTAACCAATTAACATAGCTGGAATACCCAGCCTATATAACTACTCCCATTAGGAGGAGGAAAACTACTATGCATGAGCATTGAGTAGGACTTAAGATTTCACAACATTAGTGACATAATCTGAGTTCAAACCATATTTAGTGTAACATATTGTTTGAGCATAAAACAGGGCAAAATATTTAAGATTCTGTTGGGGAGTAAATAGTATACCCCCAGTGACTATATGAACTAGTCCATAACTATAATCAAAAGGTCCAGTTCAGAGGTAAGAGGAGAAGCTGTTTGTAGTCAGTCTTCAAACTAATTAATACAGGTGACACAGCAAGTAGCCAAAGCATTACTTACATTATAACTGCTACAAAGCACATTATAAGATTGGCAACAAAGGATTAAAAACTCAGGTGAAGAATTTTAATCATGTTGATTTAAAAAAATTATTTTTCTTATTATGTAGAAGAAAAAATATTGTTTTCTCTCTTGGGTGTAGAAAAAAAACAAAACATATTCTTGCGAAGACGAAGCAAATTTTGGCTTCGATAGTTGAAATTCATCAATGACAACAGAAATATAAACAACAACAAAATCAGCATATGCTAGAACTACAAAAACAGCAACAGGAATTGTTGGATATAGTTCTGAAGAAAACAAAATATTCAACAATTTCTCTTACACCAGACTCTGTCCAAAATACCATATCAGAATTTGTATATGATCCTTATGAGGGACTGACTTTTTCTGTGTATTTTTGTAGATATGAACAAATATTCAGTCAGGAATGTATCGGCTGGGAAAATGAGAGAAAAACAACATTGTTGCTGAGGAAAGTAGATAGAGTAGAACAAGTAAATAGAGTATGAAAAATACTGCAACTACATATTACCAAAAAAAAAAAACAGGTGAAATCAAGTTTGAAGACATGGTACACATTCTGACAAAAATCTTTAGTGACAATCTTTTCTGTTTAATGCTTGTTGGGGTGGGGATGCATGAATCCAGCCAAAAAAGAGGACGGAGATTTTGTCATGTATGCTGGTATTGTCAACAAAGAATATGAAAAGTTTAGAATAAAGGAAATGACTCGATATATGTTCAATGGTTAATTTTTGTTCAAGGTTTAACCACTAAAAATAAGCTAAAATATGAGCAAAAATTTTAATGAAAATTGAACAAAACAGTAATATTTCACTGCAAGAGTGAACAATTGCCAGGCAATTCTAAATCTGAAACATGATATGGAATAAATTCAGAAAAAGAATATGCATTGGTACAAGCGAAGGACAGATGTACGAAAAGGTGAATAAATCCTTATTTCAGATGTGATAAATTATATCTTGGAAAAGACTGTTCATTTAAAAATGCAGAATGTTACAAGTGTGGTAAACAAGGACATAAAATCATACTGCAAAACCAAACCAAGAAAAAATTCTCACAGGAAGAAATTCATACACAGCATTGCGCTAGAAAAAATGGTCACAGAAAACAATATGAAATTTGTAAATGTGAAAATAAATATGTATGTGTGAAAATGCTACTGGACAATGGTAGTGATTTTTCAATAATCAGTGAAACCACAGTGAAGGAAATGGGAAAGCCTTTATTAAAAAGGACTTCTAAAGTTGCAGTTTGAGCTTCTGGTGAGAAATTTTTTTTTTTTGAGAAATAATTTGTAATGTTTCATTTCGTAGTAAGCATGTAAGAACTAAAGCTTATTTATTAAAAAGATGCTACAAATTTATTTGGTACTGACTGGATGGAAATATTTCAATTTTGGGATTTGCTGATGAACATTTTGTAAGTGGACAAGCGATCAATTTAAAAAGTCAGTGTAAAAATCTTAAGGAAGAATTAAAAAAATGTTTTTCAAATGTTCTGTCAAATGAACTGGGTTGGTGTTCAAAATTTAAAGTGGATTTTCAATTAAAAAAAGGTTCAATGCCAGTATTTAAGCTGAAATGGAGTGTACCATTCACAGCATTGGAACACGTCAACAAAGAATTGGTGTAATACAAAAAAATTATCCATTCAAAATGGACTGTACCAGCAGTGTATGTAAAGGAAAAAAATAGTAAAATTTGTGTTTGCGTAGATTTCTCAACAGGATTAAACAATTGTTTAGAAATACATAACTACACATTATCATATTCACAGGAAATTTTTCCAAAGTTAAATGGAGGTAGAATATTTTCAAAGCTGAATCTCTCTGAAGCGTATTTACAAATTCAGATTGAAAATGAATGTTTAGAATTAACAACCATACATACACACAGAAGATTATATAAGTTTAACTGATTTTCTTTTGATATAAAGGTGATACAAGCTATTTTTCAACAAGCTTTGGATACCATAATTGCAGTTTGCAATTTTGCATTTGTGTACCTGGACAAAAGTGTATCTAAAGAACAACATGTTGGGCATGTGAAAACAATTTTGGAATATCTAAGAGAGTACAGATTCTAACTCAGTGAAGAAAAATGCAAATTGTTTTTGCCAAAAATTAAATACCTTGGTCAAATTATTTATAGAAATGGTCATCAACCAGATCCTGTCGAGGGCAGATGCAATTAAAAATATGCCTTCACCAACAAAGGTGACTACATTACAAGCTTTTCTAGGACTGGCTAATTACTATCAAATATATGTACATAATATGCATAATTTGAGAGCTCCACTGAACGAGGAGTAAAGTGGAATAGGAACAATAACTGTCAAACAGCATTTGACAAAATAAAAAAAGACTTATGTCAAATTTATCATTAGCACACTACGATCCAAAAAGTAGAAATTATAATGGTATCAGATGCTAGTGACTATAGTATTGGACGGTGATTTTATACAAATACAATAGCAGTAAAATGAAAGCCTTCACTCATGCTTTGTACTCACTTCTACCAGCAGAGAAAATTACATCCAGAAAGAAAAAGACACTCTAGCAATTATATCTGCTGTGAAGAAATTTCATAAATTTATATATGGAAGAAATTTTAGATTGCAAACA